AATATTTTTTAGTTTGCAAGCTAACAGCTTAGCCTACTAGCTTGGCATGAGGTTAAATTGTTACGAAAGCTCTTGTGATGAGCTAGAAAATTGAACATTTCTCTTTGTTTGTGGATTCAGTTAGCCTTCAGCTAACTTAAACTACGTTAACAGCTTAGCTTACTGGCGAAAACTCAGTTTCACAACCAGACAGAATCAGCAGTTGCGGTTGCACTAGAAATAAAACGTAAAAGGAAACAGAACCATCCCACAATGGAAATTCTGTAGTTCTCATGAATGAGCCAATCCTGTGAGAAATGTCAAGAGGCCCAAAAGAGGAGGAAGTGCTGCTATCTCAGAGGCTTCCGAGGTTCAACAAGCAGGAAAAGAGCCAGAATGCTACTGTTTGACCTTCACAATGAAAATAAGTCGCTCTGCATCACTGTGTTGTGTGTCATTGTGTAACTCTGAGATACCTGCATGGGTGAGACAGCAGCAGCAGGTGGGGTCTTCATAGGGCTGGGACTGAGAGGTGTGCGAGGTAAGGGGGCGCTCGTGGTTGTGCTTGCAGCAGCGGTGGCTGCATCAGCGACTGCAGTAGCATTAGCTCCAGGACCTGTGACCACACCAAAACAGATTAAATCAACCTTTTGAGACCATTAAACATGCCGGAAATAAAACCAGCGATTTAACAATGTTTAAAAATGGCAAGGTACCCTGTGAGGCACTGTCAAAGCTTTTGATGAGGGTTTTAACGGTGGGTGACGGCTCGGAGGATGTGGAGGGGCGTCGACTCAGTCCCATGCCCTGCCTGAGTGCAGCCAGGTCCCTCTCAACAGCGTTCATGTAGTTATATACACGTCCACGCTCCTCGTCTTGCCTTTGAGACATTACAGAGTCATATTTTAAACATGGATACTCTGTCTCCTCATAGACAGGAAAGTCTTTATTAAATTGAAATGATTATGTGACCCTCATCTGCTACATTAATATAATTAAACTCAAACAAAGGTGCTCTCAGATAATTCCTGTAAAAATATGCCACCAAGGCTGGCCCAAACCATAGGATGTAAAATATGCTGTCTTCTAAGATAATCAAAAAATTTACTAGTTAAAAACAAGTAACTTCACCACCACCACCACCAAAAAAAAAAAAAAAAAAA